CATTAAATTCCAGTGAAATATATTTATGTTTGTGGTTGTAATGTGACAAAATATGGAAAAGTTCAAGGGGTATGAATACTTTTGCAAACCACTGTATGTAACAGTCACGCATCGGCAGTTAGAAATAGTGTTTTTAATCAGCTGATTTCAGGTTTTTGCTCTTGATGCCAGCCTACAGTTCAGCTTTGCCGTTTGCTGACAGATGAAACTAAATTAACTGCCCTGTTAAATTCACTATTGTCCGTTTTTCCCCCTTTCCTTTTATTGTAAAAAAAAAACCCTGCAACTTTCGGTTCTTCCTTTGGTTCCTCTTGAAAAAAGTGTTTTATTACCTGCTGCCCGATTAACTCCAGACATGTAACGCCACATTACAGTTGGTGTTTTTATTTTCTCCTTCTGATAATCAGACGTTTACCACAGTGGGGTCCCGAAACATCAAGGTGAGGTCCTGAAATATTTTCTGAATTACACTAAAAAATTACAACAACAATTTTTTGCCTTTGTTGTTACAAACGAGTAAAGTTAGCGTAGTTAAAATGGACAAAAAGAGTATAAATATTGTTACTATGCTCTTGTTTATTTGACTTGAAAACAATGTTTATCAACCAACAACAGCTGGGGGCACGGGTCTCTGCTGCTGCTATTTTGTGGGGCAAAAGCTGAAAAGTTTGGGAACCACTGCTTTAGCGAATCGATAGTGTTGGGAAATAACATCTCAATATTTCAGTGTATTGATATTTTCTTACACCCCTAGTGTGTGTGTGTGTGTGTGTGTGTGTGTGTGTATTTGTTTTTGTTACAGTTTTAGGACTGTTTCTGGTATACACACCTATCTTGTCAAGACCAGTAGTCCTAATGGGGACCAAAGACCTGTCCTAATATGGTGGAACTCCATTTTTGGGTTGGAGGTGTGAACTGAGTTTAGGTTAGTTTTAAGGTCAGGTAGGTACATGTGAGATTAGTTTTAGGGTACGTGGTCAGGGTTAGGCTGTAGAAACTACAGGAAATGAATGGAAGTCAATGAAAGATCCTAACAAGCATAAAAACAAGTGTGTGTGTGTGTGTGTGTGTGTGTGTGTGTGTGTGTGTGTGTGTGTGTGTGTGTG